CTCCATCGGGCCGTGCAGCCCGTACTTGCAGTTGTTGAGGTACAGGCCAGACCCGCTGGGCTGCGGCGCGGGCCCGGGGGCGCGGGGGCGGCCCTCCACCACGGCACCGTTTTTCGAGCCGGATTCGACGACAAAAATCCATTTGGGGGCAACTCAGTTCTGTCATTGACGCCCCTGACGGCAGGCGGGCTCTTCCCCGATCCCGGAGCCCCCGAGGACAGCCCCGGCGGGCGCCAGGAGCCGAAGGGGAGTCCCTGAGCTCCTGGCGTTTCAACTCTTTTTCGGGCCAAGCGTGTTTTCGCCTTTTTGGGGCCCCAGGGCCTTCACATATCGATCCGGCTCGAAAAATGGCGCGGGGGCGAGGAGGCGGAGGAGAAGGTGGGGCGCACAGAGACAGGCTAGCTCTGCACTCCGAATCCCGTATCAATCGACCCCCCCCCCCCCTGAAAAGCCGGACCCCCCTCCAACTGCGACCTGATATTCCGGACCCCCCTCGTCGACGGGGCGCCTCAATGAACCGGACCCCCTAAGCTCCAATCCAAAGAAACCGCCCTAATAAACCGGACTCCCCCAGTTACAAAAAAGGCGCCTTAAAAAACCGGACCCGGGGGAAGATTAATAAGGGATCTGGAGTATGCTTCCCTCGGAGGCGCGCGTCCGATCATACAGTATAACCATATTGTGGCACATGGTTCTCCGAGCGGCACGGCCAGAGTGTCCGCCACGGTGCATCTGCTGTAAGACTTCTCGGTGCGCGCGTCGCCCCTCTGGGGGCGACGCGCACATAGTGTTACTATGTTGGGATGCCGCCGATGAGGGTCAAAGATGTGAGCGTTTTTTCTTTTATTCGGCGTTTCGACATTGGGCGGAAAGGGGAGGGTGGGGGGGGTCTGGCTCCAGACCTCTGCTTAGTGCGACTGTTTGCAGCACTGGGTCCTATGAGGGAAGACTCCACCCGCTCGAAACAGGCGCCCAGACCAGGCAAGATCTACTCCACGGTGGGGGGGTAGGGGAGGGTGCGAGGGCCCGCGCCGATCGGCAAAAGAACGAATCAAAACGCTCACTATGTTGGGGTACCCCCGATGGGGGTCAAAGATGCAATCGAAACCGACAGCAAGGAAGGGGCGCTCTGACGCTCTGCAATGCGAAGGGTCCTGCAAGATCCTGCAGGATCCTGCACCCAAGCCCGGGTCAATGCGACCCTGGCCCTGCAGGATCCTGTAAGATCGGGCGCTCTGGCTGACCCCCGTTTGCATTGACCCCCGTCTCAAGGCTTCCGTGCGTCCTATGGGGGAAACTCCACCCGCTCGAAACAGGCGCCCAAACCAGGCAAGATCTACTCCACGGTGGAGGGGGAGGTGGGGGGGCGAGGGCCCGCGCCGATGGGCAAAATAATCAATAAAGAAACGATCACTATGCTGGGGTGCCGTCGATGAGGGCCAAAGATGCAACCGAAACTTGCAGTACTAGGGGGCGCGCAAGCATGGATTAGCGATCCATGGTCTTGGCGCGCGGTCGCCACATCCATAGATCGGGGGAGGTGCCCTCCCCAAAGTGCGGCCGGTGCCGCCGCGCTCGGCGGACATCCGCGGCCGAGCGCCATCCCAGCGGAAATCCGCGGCCGGCCCGCGGAACTCCGCTCGGCACGACCCCGCCCCCTCGATCGGGCCCAAGACGCAGTCGACGCCGGCAGGGCGGACCCCCCGGCAGCCCTGCCCCCCTCGGTCCAGCGGCAGGCTCCCGGGGGCAGGTCCGGCCCCCACGGCGGGCCCGGGCTCGCGGGCCCCGCGGTTCGAGAGCAGGGGATCGAGGGGGAGAAGGAGGAGGGGGAGGGGGAGGGGAGGAGGAGGCGGAGGCGGAGGAGGAGGAGGAGGAGGAGGAGGAGGAGGAGGAGGAGGAGGAGGAGGAGGAGGAGGGGAGCGAGGGCAGAGCTGGTCCACGGCCAGAGCCCGGTTTTTCCTCGTCGGATCTGCGGAGGGGCGCCCAGAACTCTCGGCAGAACTGCGGAGCATCCGCGCACTCGTCGCACAGGCGATGGGAAAACCGCCTCCAGGGGCACATCGCGCCTGGAGTCGCTCCCCCACTCGACTTCTCGGCGAGCAGTGGGCGACTGGGGGTCGACGCTTGCCCCCGGAGCCTGGTCCCCCCCGAGCGTTAGACCCCGATCCCACACGTCTTACTTGTTTTTGTTGGGGTCCTCTGCCTGTCTCCTCGAGATCCCCTGCTCCTCTCCTTGCCTAAGATCTTCTGCCATCCTCGACCTCGATGCTCGGACCTCGGGAGGAGGTTCGAACATCGAGGGGGGGAAAGGGGGTATGCAGAGCAGGGGAAAATGCGAGCCAGCGAGCGCGAGACGTGCACGGGGAGCGGGAGGATGAGGAGGAAGAAGGGGAAGGGGGCGAGGGCGAGCGAGGAGAGGAGGTCTGAATGCAATTGTAATGAAATCCCAACCTCTCACCATCTCAGAATGGCGATGGGATCCCATACAAGTCGTACACGACCCTGGAGAATCGAATAGATTCCTATAGCATCTCATGGAATCCACAAGACAAATAATAGAGTCCGATGGAATCCTCAGGATACCCTATCCGCCACCGTGCCTGCACGGAGTGGGCGTGTTAGAATGCTCCTAATTATGGTACCTCTGGGAGTGTTTGGTGCTTAAAACATATGTTTTCTAGTGCCGACCCCCCGTTCGCACGCGTACGCGTAGACCGCCCCACCCTGATATCGCTCCCCGGCGCTCTTTTCGGCCCTCCAGACGGCCAGGATGGCCTCCAAGACGGCTGCCAAGGCAACCGAGACGGCACCAAAACAGCTCAAGATGGGCTAAACCGGCTCAAGAGGCCCTTAAGACGGCCTCAAGACAGCCCAAGAGGCTCCCAAGACGGCCCAGGAGGACTCCAAGAGGCTCTCCAGGAGAGCCCGAGGAGGGGTAACATCACAGATTCCCACTGGGCTGTTGCAGGGTTTTGGGTGCTCGCCTCCAAGATAGCTCCAAGACGGGCCCGCGAGGCTCCCCCCGTGGGCCCCAAATTGGCCCAAGAGGACCCCAACTATCCTTGTGTTTGGCATCACCTCGGATACCCAGGCGAACCGTTCGCTTCGCACGAGAACGGCCATCCGCAGCCACGAGCACGTGCACCGTGGGAACGACGGGCCACGGACTAAGCCCCCCGCTCGCTCTCCTTCTACTCCCTGAGCTCTCCTCCTCCTCCTCCTCCTAACATCGCCCAAAAGGCCCCCAAGCGGGCCACGGGTCGGCCCCGAAGCGCTCCACGAGTGCATCAACGGGGCCCACAGAAGACCTCAAAGGACGGCCCCCGAAGGCGCCAGACGGGCCGAGGGCCACCAGGGATGGCTCAACGAAGCCCCCAAAGGCCCCAAGGACGGCCCGAAAGCATCAGACTGCTGGCTCAAGGTGCAGACTGGGGCCCGAAGGCCCCAAGGACGGCCCGAAAGCATCAGCCAAGGACGGGCCGAGGGCCCCAAGGATGGCTCAAGAAGCCCCAAAGCCACCAAGACGGCCCCAAGAGGCATCAGAGAGTGCTTTTAAGAGGCCCTCCAGGAGTGCCCGAGGAGGCAACATTCACTGATTTCCACTGGGCATCAGTAGGATTCTGAGGTTCTCGTCAACTTGGGTCCCCGACCGCCCAAGACTGCCCAAAACGCATCCAATATAGCTCCAAGACGGCCCGCGAGGCCCCGAAGAGGGCCCACACATCGGCCCAAGAGGACCCCAAGATCGCTCAAGAGGCTCCCAAATTAACCCCAAAGCGCTCCAGGAAAGCACCGAAACAACCCAACCAAGCCCCACAAACGGCCTCCGAAAGCGTCAGACGAGACAAAAGCGTCATAAGACGGCCCAAGAGGTCCCAAGAAGCATCGGAAAGGCCCCATGAGGCACCCAAAAGGCTCACAAGAAGCATCCAGGAGCCCCCCAGAAAAGGGGCCACGAGTCCTTCTCCTCATTGTTTTCATGTCTTCCATGTCCGTCCTCCTCCTCCTCCTCCTCATTATCCTCCTCCCCTTCCTCCCCTCCCTCCGTTCTACCACGGGGGCGAAGACGAGGTCGAGGTAACGCCCGTCCCAGTTCAGACCAGTCGTCGGAATTGTGCTGTTCCTACACTCAGCCTTCTTCCTGCTACGCTGTTGCACAGGCACGGTGTCGGGGCTTGCCGCAAGCAGCTGGATGGATTCCGATGCCCCCGCCAGAACACGCGCTGTGTTACCCAACCATACCTCATGGACTGCGATCGTATATATATATATATATATATTAATGCCATCGATCCGATGCAACCCCCAACCATCCTTACACATCCCGCGGGGCATCCCAACACATCATATATATACTACGCATGAATCAATCGCATACAATACAATATCATATATGATCCTATGGGGGCAACAATCACTCTGTGGAATAAGATCACATCTTCCAGGAAATATGCAGAAACCGACGAACTTCCCAGCAAATCCTATATCACAATATTGGTCCCCAACCGAACTGACAAACAATCAGACGGAAACCAAATCACATCACACATGCTTCTACATCACGCTACCGTTTCCTGTGCATGCCTAGAAATCCAACACAACCAAGTCGGGCCGCGTTTAGTTCATAGCAAATCCTGTAGAACCCTGTAGAATGCTGGAACATCTCAACCACACGTTATGGACAACCATCGCATCCTTAAGGGATCGTGAGAACACCAGATGGGCCCCCAAACGCATTGACATACTCTTATAGAATGTTCAGCGAATCTTGCAGAACCTAGCGGCGCTGTCCGTCGAATTCTACACGACCCGATGGATTACAAACAACATCAAATGAAACACATGGTTTCATTAACACATCTGCTACACAGTCTGACCGTATGGAATCCAGAAAAGCCATAAACAATTCAATGGGATTCACAGCAAATGATATCGGTTCACATGGGATTGGCATGGTATCACAGACTCTGGCCATCAAAACATTGCTATGGACCCCTAAGTACGTTCCATCTAATCCTGTATAATATTGCATATTGCAACTGATTGCTATGGGATCCGTCTGACACCCTATAGAATCCTGAATGATCAAATGCTCTCAACCCAATTCCTTATGAGTGCACCGGCCACGCGCGGGTGCCAAGGCGCACACCCCATGGAAGTGATTTTGTTCCAGCGGTGTACTTCTTATACTTGCTTCCCTCCTCTGGATTTTCACTTGTTCCCAACAATGGTTTTCCAGCATCAACTGCGTTTCCACCTAACAGCCACATGGACGTGCAGATAAGGACCGAGGCACATTGACAAACTGAACGACATATGCGTCAAATTAAGATAGAATCGGAACGCCAATACACAAATACACATGCATAGGCATGTATGTATGCATGTACGCGTGTATGCATGTATGCATGTGTGGCATGTCTGTATGTGTGTATGTATGCATGCATCTATGCATGTTTGCATGCTTGCCTGTATGTATGCAGGTGTCTATGAATGAATCCATACATGTATGTTTGCATGTATTCATGCGTCTATGAGATGCATGCATGCACGCATGCATGTAGATCCGTATGTATGTGCGCCTGTATATATATATATATATATATATGTGTGTGTATGCGTGGGTGCATGCATGCATGCATATATATATATATATATATATATATGTGTGTCTGTGTATGCATGCATGCATGAATGTTTTCTATGTATGCATGCATACATGCATGCATTTATCTATGTCTGTGTAAATATATATATATATATATACACATACATCTATGTGTTCCCCTCCCCCCCCACAGGGGCCACCCCTGCTCCGTGGCCCCGGGGGCCCCTTGGACCCCCCTGCAGAAGGTCGCCCAGGCTTTCCAGGACTCCTGGAAGCCCCTGCTGGGCACAAGCAACGGGCCCAACTCGGTCAGGGAGGTGGCCCGCGAGAGCCCCAAGAATGATTAATAGAGCGGGTTCGCACGGCTTCTCCGAATCACGGAGCTGATCGGTTCCTTCGAAGTTGAAGAGGAGAGGATAATGAGCCAGCAACAACGGGGCGCAGGGGCTGCAGAAGGTGCCGGAGCCTGCAAAGGCACCATGCATCGGCTGCCACGCGGCTCCTCCTCTTCCTCCTCGTCGTCGTCCTCCCTGGCGAGAGCATCGTGCCTGCTGCTCCTCGTCCTCTTCCAACTCTGCCTCGCCCTCGTTTTTGGCTGGCCCATGCTGGCGGCCTCGTGGTGATTCGACAGCAATCCCAACAGTCGCCGCGGGAAGAACACGGTGTCCGGGTCCACCTGGCGCCCCGCCGTGGTGCAACCCGCTGCTCCTTCGCTCTGTGCCCCTCCTTGTTCTCGCCACGATTATTGCTCGTCTAAAGGGAAATTAGGACACACAAATAAATACACACAAATAAAAATAGTCCCCATATTTTCCCCTATTTCCTGGGTTTTTGTCTTCCCCCCCAATTCCCATATTTTCCCATATTTTCATGGGAATCGAGGATTAATTGTGTCTGTGTGTTTTTTTCCCTCCTGATCGTCCCCGTCGCCTGGTTCAAGCCGTGCACATCGGCCAGAGGAAGCGAGCATAATCATGAAGCAGGAGCGCGTTGAAAGCGGATTGGGTTTCTGCCCGCCCCGAGGGAGGAAAAAACAAGGAGCACCGCTCGATGATCGAAGTAGGAAGGCACCAACAATAGATACACATCCGGGATCCAACTTTCAACGTCCGATAGATATAATACATGACGCAACTACCCCGACGAGCGATCACGAAACACGAGCATGCCGGTATCCGTGCCCTCGAGGTCTGAACGACGAGCCACGGTCCCATGAGCACGCGATCCTATCCTATGGGGTCGTGGCCGAGGAAACCAGACTGCGAGGCGGACTGCACTTGCCGGAGGCCGCCATGAGGGCCCAGCATATACTCAGAGAAATCCGCGCGGACCTCCGAACATGTAGGATTGTGCAGTTTTTGAGCTATGTTCGCCCGCAGTGGTGGGGTGGGAGCGCGCTGGAATGCAGGCCTCCCAAATAGGGTCGCAAATGGGGTCGAAGGATCGCGCCGCATTCGCCGATGCATCGGTCATGCGGCGCGATCCTCCGACCCCATCTGCTCTGGCGTCATTCTGAGAGGCCTGGAGAAGCGAGAGGTCTCCTGTGCAGCGCATTGTGCGCGATCGTGACAGTACGCCCAGAAACTGGGCTCACCGCACGCGCCGGGGGCGTTCCAGACAGCAGTGGGCAGCGTCAGTGCACAACGAAGCACAACTGCATCGCATACCTGTGTGCGCGTGAGCCACCAACTCTTCCTTTCGCCTACGCGACCGCAAGGGTCGGCGATGGACAAACCTCCTTTTAGTAAACCTCCCCTCAGTGAAAACGGCCTGGGGTCGAAACCGACGGACCTGGACCCGCAAAAATACGGCCGCGACGCCCTCTCGCGAACCGAAAACGGCCAATTCGCTAATCGACGTGTCAGGGTAGGAGGTCTGTCCACCTCCGAAAGGGATGCAGGGCCACGGGCAGTCAGCCAGGAGGCGCAGAGGGGGGGGGGCGCTGGAAGGCGCAGGAGACTGGACGAGCCCGCCGCCGACCTCCCCTCACCAGCACGACGCCGACGGGCCCTGGGGGGCACGGGGCCCGGACGCGTGGGCATGGACTTGGCGGCGCGCAGAGCGGGGTATGGTTTGGACGCCCGAAATGGGTACGGAAAAAATGGGTACAATGCCCAACAACACATGTTGTCCCAAACCAACAGCGGCCGCTGTTGGGCAGGCGGCCTTCTGTCTCGCATGGACACAGGCCGCGGCGGCGTGGTCAGCGAATCCGGATAAAAATGAACAAGAACTGCTGTTCGGTATTGTACCCATTCTTTCCGTACCCATTTCGGGCGTCCAGGTATGGGGGAGGGGGGAAGGCTCCTTAGAAGGAGGCTGCTTCTTAGAAGGCGCGGGCCTACGCCTATGCAGAGGGCCCGCGCCTTCTAAAAAGCAGGGGTGCTGCTCAGAAGCTTCCCCCCCTCCCCCTAATCCCCCCCTCTGCGCGTGGCTGAGCCTGGACGGCGACACCGGCGCTCCGTCCGGGGTACCTCTCGGACGGCCCCCGAGGCCCGCGCAAGGGCTCTGCGAGCCCGGAAGCGGCGGAACACCTCGGGATCTGTTTCCTTCGGGGCCCGCTTGCTTCACGGCGGCCGCGGGCTCGTTCGTGAAGATCGTTCTGAATTCAGCCGCTGGCGGCATGATGGTTGCATGTTCATTCTGGCACAGGCGGGGCGGACGGCACCGCAGAAGCGCTTCCCCACCTCCGCAGTGCGGGGAGGAAACAAAAGGCACCGGCACCGCTGCCCCCCAGACCTCTCCTCGGGTGCCGTCTGACCAGAACTTCAAAGCGAATCCAGCGGTAGCGACGAGGGCCTCCCAGGCCCAAGAGGGGGACAACAAAAAAGGCAGCAGTATAGGTACCTCTCCTCCTCTCAACTTGGGAAGCGCTGAGAAGCCCTGGAGAGTGGAGAGGTCTGCCGCAGACCTGCCCGCCCGAGCGGCCGGCAGCGAGCAGACGAGGACAAGCACGGCGCCGCCGCCTTGAGCCTCATGCGCCTGCCAATGAACCGCCTGGTTGGCGCTAGTCGACGAATGATGGGCACGCAGCAGGACGGAAGCCAAACGAACACGGCGCGCGATGAGGACCCAAACGTCCGATGTCTTGATATGTTCAATACGGGGTCTCTGGAAGTCCCGACCCTTTCCCCAGGGCCATTGTTTCCTCCCCAATCGTCTTCTGACAGTCCCGAAGCCCAGCGAGGGCCCTTGGAGGCCGAAGCGGCAAAACACCTCCCGTCGTGACAACTTCACGACGTGATCATGATTGGGGATGGGGCTTGGCCTCGATAGGCCAGCAGGGTGGGTGGGTCCGATTTAGGGGTGAACAAAATCCAGACTGCATCCCGCCGTTCCGCCTGCGGTCCCATCGCCGCCGATGCTCGCCCGATGCTGTTCCGTAGGCAGCTTGGCCCGCAGAGCCCCTGCCGGCGAAACGCGTGTTGGGATACAACCAGGGGCTGCCTATGAATGATCAGCTTGCAAAGATTGCCCGCCTCCGTACGTCTGGCAGGCCACTGAAGAATCCACTCGCACCACACTCCGCGAGTTCACTAGCCTGGTCGTTCAAAAACAATCCCGCGTGAGACTCCACCTACTACCGCACTAGGCATTGACCAAGCTCATCAAACAGGCGCCGGACATGCAGGGGCTAGCCTGATATTCTGGCGTGATCTCGAAAGTCCGCGTCCTATTTTGGCCGCGTGCTCCGAGTCATATTCGATGCGATCTGCTGCAGAAGATGAGGAATACGGCGATGCACGGATGTGATTGCGCGCGACAGGCAAGGCGTAAAACATGGCATCCAGCTCAGCGGCATTGTGCGAATGCTTGCACGCACCAACGAAGCAAGGATCGGATTCAGCAGAGATGGCGGGCCCGCAGAAGTCCAGCAGCGGAGCCTTAACAGGCAAGAGACACAGTGAAACCCCAACCCGGAACCTCCTCGCCGCCCGCGCTCTTGGAGAAACCGTCACACGACGCGAGAATCCCAGCAGGGCGCTGAAAAGCAGGAGAGACTGGATGAGTAGGAAGAGCAGGCTCGCGGTGAACAGGCCGTGCAGGTTGAGCTATGAGCCAGGGCTTGGTCCTCTTGAGCGGAGGAAGAGCTGACCGGTGGATTTCCCGCATAAGCCACGACCGCGGCAGCGCCGTGTCAAGAACCGCCAGCTTCCCGCTTCGACGGCCAATGGGGGCCCGCGCGGCAATGGCGTTCGCCCGAAGCACGCGGGCGCACTGGAGCCGTTAGCTGGGATCAGACCGCACCGTGTCAAGCAAGGAGAAAGATTCTCTGGCCGCGCTTCAGAGCAGCGTTACCGGGACACTGCCGCAGACGACGCGGAACGCATTCAACCACTTGGCCACGACGCGAGGGCAAGAATACTGACGTGGAAAAACATATATATATACATATATATAAAGAATACTCAAGGATGTCCACAATCCTCCCGTGCTGAGGGCGGGCCCCCGCGGCGAAGCTGCGCCCGGTGCGCGTGTTCGCGCGCCGGCCCCCATTCAGACAGGCCGTCGCCGAGACCGCCAACATCGCGAGGACGACGAGCACCCCCCTGTCCAGCAACAGCGCGGCGTAGAAATGCACGCAGATCACGAAACCGCTCGGCAAGCCTGGCGGCGCCACGAAAGTGGCGAGAACCTCCAGGTCCAGCGCGGTCAGGAAGATCATCTCGAATGCGATAATCAAACGCGCGACTACGGCACTCCAAGATTGCGGGCCCCGTCCAACGCATGGCTAGTAGAACCTCGAGAGCGCGATCCGCGGGCGCCAGAGGTCCGAAACCGAAGAATGGCCCAACGGAACCACAGACTTTGCCAGTCGTGATATTGTAGAACGCTTGCGAACAACATCTTTGCGGCGTAGATCCTCGCTGGTGCGTGCGCCGCCACTCGTGGAAGACGCGCGCGGCGTAGGCCTGTCCCCAGAAAATGCGCGATTGCTTTCGAACGCCGGACTGTGGCGCCCGGTCTCACCGCGCCCATCCACGCCTGCGCCGCTGCGCCACCGACGGCATGGAACTGCTGCTTGGCGCGCGCGAAACCGCCGTCGGCCCGCGTGGCCGAAACAGCGCCTGCGGCCCCGTCGCCACGTTGAGCATGTGGAAGCAAACTCGCAACGCTACGTCTCGCTCTGAAAAGATCCGCCCTTCTCGCCGCCGCGGGCGCCAGGGCGCTCGAATCCACGGTGAGATCGATTCCCAAGACGCGAAGCGATTCCTTGGATGGCGGGCACCACATGAGAGCGTCCACGCCATCGAGGCGGCGCTGGCCAGGTCGACCAACGACTCCCCGAACGCGCTTTCCAAGGACTAGTGCAGGTTCAATGTATTTGTCCAAAAGCAAGTTGGCATTCAGGATCTCGCCGAGATCTGTCCAGCCCAGAGCCGTGACAAAACGATCGTAGATGCGGGAATCGCGCGCCACTGTTGGCGCCGATCTTGCAGCGGCGGCGCGCCGCGAGGAAAGCGTTAAATTGTTGCGTTGGCGCGGCCTGGGGGGCAGCCCTGTGGCGCTCCGCGCAAGTGGCCCCCGCTCGACCGCGCGTCGGCGGGCTCGCTGTCGACGAACACCACCCGTGAAAGCGTTTGATGTATATTTCCGGCACGTGCGGGCGCCAGCAGATTCAGGAATTCGATGGGCTGGCGGAGGTCCCCCAGGTCAAGCCGGACAACGCTGCGC